GGTGTTCTCTTCAGGTGTGTGCAATTGACTTTGATATTCTGATGGGTTTCAAGTTGGGTGCAGGCAGGTCTGAGACACTGGCTCTCCAGGTGGGTGAGGGCAGCACTGGGGCAGAGATGTCAGCAAACTCTGGGTTACTTGGTCCTCAGGGGTTGAGTCGTCCTGTCGAAGATCCCTGGGCAGGGTTTGCCAGGGTGGGCAGATGGAAGTTGGGCCCAAGTTAGGGGCGGAATCAGCTCACCTCTGCACTCTCTGCACTCTGTGGGGGCCGGAATAGTCCAGAGAACTCGGGAGAGTCAGGATTCCAGGGCCCTCAGGGACCAATTCAGTCTGCCTGCAGATCCCGGAGTGGGATTTGCCAGGGTGGGCAGGCAGAAGTTGGGCCGGTTGGAAAATTTTTGATGGCTGTTTCAAATTCTTTAGAGGTTACAGGTCTATTTTAATTGCTTATCTATTCTTGATTTCATTTTGGTAAGTGATACCTATCCAGAAATTTCCTTTAGATTTTCTAATTTTGTGGAGTACAGGTTTTCAAAGTATGACCTGATGATTCTCTGGATTTCCTCAGTATCTGTTATTATATCCCCTTTTCATTTCTGATTTTGTTAATTTGCCTGTTCTGTCTCTGCCTTTTGGTTAATTTGGGTAAAGGTTTGTCTATCATGTTAATTTTCTCCAAGAACCAACTCTGTTAAATTGATTCTTTGTATTGTTTTCTTTGTTTCTACATTATTGATTTCATTCCTCAATTTGCTTATTTCCTGGCATGGACTCTTCCAGGGTGAGTTTGCTTCTTTTTGTTCCAGGGCTTTCAGGTATGCTGCTAATTCTCTAGTGTGATTATTCTTCAGTTTCTTCATGTGGGAACTTAGTGCTATGAACTTTCCTCTTAGCACTGCTTTCAGAGTGTCCCATAAGTTTGGGTATGTTGTGTCTACATTCTCATTAAATTCTAGGAAGTCTTTAATTTCTTTTTTTATTTCTTCCTTGACCCAGGAATGGTGCAACTGGGCATTATTCAATTTCCATGAATATGTAGGGTTTCTACAACTTGTATTATTTTGAATTCTAACTTTAAAGCATGATTTTGTTTTTATTGTCTCTATTTCAGCTTTCAAGCCTTGCACTGTTTGAATTGTTTCCTTCACTGTTTTTGGTTGTTGTTGTTTTTTTTCTTGGCCTTCCTTATTTTATTTAATAAATTTATTTATTTATTGCAATATTTTGCTTTTATTTTCCTCCATTTCTTGCATTTTTGTTTGTTTTCTTTTCCATTTCTTTAAGAGATTTTCTTTTTACCTCTTTGATGCTCTCTTATCTTCATAAAGTTGTTTTTACAGTTGTTCTCTTCTGCTTCATCGGTGTTGGGATGTTCAGGTCTTGCTAGTGTGGAGTCCTTAGACTCTGGTCGTGTCATATTGGTCTTTCTGTTGTTTAATGCATTCTTATACTGTCGTCTTCCCATCCCTTCTTCCAGTGGGTGCCAGTGGAGTCATTACCTGCCCCATTGGGTATGATTTCAAAGTTCTCTTGTGGTGGGTCAAACTGGTCCAGTATTCTTATTCATTATTCAGTAAAGAGTAGTTTAATCTCTATGAGTTTATGTATTTATTATAGATTTGTTTTCTCTTGATTTTAAGTTTTACTTCATTATGGTCAGATAGGATACACTGAGATATTCCAACTTTTCTCAATTGGTTAAGATTTACTTTGTGTCCCGGCATGTGGTTTATTTTAAAGAAACTTCCTTGGGCTGCTGAGTAGGCAGTGTATTCTATGTTCTCTTAGTGGGATATTCTGTAGATATCTGTCAAATACATTTGATATACAGTGTCATTTAATTGTGATGTTTCTCTGTTAATTTTTTTGTCCAATAGGCTATGTGTTAAAAGAAAGTGGAATATGAAGTCACCTGCTATTCTTAGGTTGATGTTAGCCCACATTTTCATGTGCTACTCTTTTTACAAAATTTGGCTCACCACAGTTTGGTGCATATATTTTATGATGCTAATATTTTCTTGCCTAATTATTCCCTTGATTAGAGTGTCCTTATTAGAGTGTCCCTCTCTTGATTCCTTTTCGTTTGAAGTCTGTTTTGTCAGGTACTAGAACAGCAGCATCTGCTCATTTCCTGGGCCCATACGTTGCTAGGAATATTTTCTATCCTTTCTCTTTTAGGTGCTGCCGATCTTTAAATCCAAGATGAATAATTCCAGACACCAGAAAGACTGATAAAGTTTCTAAATCTATCAATCTCTGCTTTTAGTAGGGAATAGATGCCATTAATACTATTGATGCTACTATAGAAAGTTAATCACTTTGTTCTTGTTTGGTGTTGGTGCTGTTAGTCACCTCATGGCACCTGCTAGTTCTGAGAAAGTTACCCAGCAAGAAGTTTCATGTCTCTTCCAACTTAGAGTCTATAAGTCCTGTAACAAAAGTATGTTGTGTCTTCAGCAAGAGGGTCTTTACTCTAGTGCTGGTAGACTACCAAGTGCAACAGCAACAGGCTTTGTTGTTTTCAAAGATCCTCCCTGATGAGTAACTCTTAGGAGGTACTCCATGTTTGGCACTGGGATTTCTCTTTAATAACTCATGTCACAGGATGAAAGCACAGTGCATCCATTATTTAATTTATTTAATTTAAATTTTGGTTAGCTTACAAAGTGGTGTGTTTCCATTGGATCTATCACACATTGGTAGTTTTGGTTTACCCAAGGCCACCCACTCCTCTCCCCTGTCACACAATCTCTGTCCTCACTTCAACCTTGCACCACTTAAACCTAACTTAAACAATTTTACAATGCAAGGTTTCCACTCTGTCTGCACCCTTTAAGGCCTTTTAGACTCTACCTCACTTGGATTCATTATACTTTCCTAGCCTCTACAGACACTCCAAATAAGTCTCACATGGTCCCATCTTTAGATGAAAAGCTATAGACAATTAATGGTTGCTGAGACAGGCAGACTCAGTCTTCTCCAGATATGAGTACCTCATAAATTATAAAATCCCAGGTGGTCCACATTAGGTACATAACAACACTAAATAGACTTAGCACAATGTGTGTGTATGCATGTGAGTATGTGTTTGTATGTATGTATGTATGCATGCATGCATGTATGTTTGTTTGTATTATGTATGGATGTAACAATCATTAAAGAAGAAAATGAGACATTGAGATGGAAGGTGGGGACACAGGAGGAGTGGGCAGGGAGACTAAGAATGGTGGAAATTATGTAAATATGGTATGGACAGAAAAAATTTCAAATTTTAACCTAAAAGAAACTTTAAAAAACAAACATACTAATCTAAAAGTATGGATTATATACATAATATATGACATATGAATCACATATGACAAAAAAGTATAGCAGTTGTCTCTCTGGGCATGATTACCTCACTAAATAGGATATGTTTCTGTCCATTTTCTGTGGATTTTTATTGGCCTTTTCTTCTTTCTATGTGTACATGCATGTTATGCACATGTGTGTGTGTGTGCATCTTTGCATGTTGGGGCATACATATATGGGGGCTATACTGTGTGTGCTTGTGTGCACCCTAAATTGATATCTGGAATCTTCCTCAGTTGCTCTCAGATTCCTTGAGGCGGAGACTCTCATCCATTCCCAGAGCTTGTCCATAAAGCAAGTCTAGCCGGCCATCCAGCTCTGTGATCCCATGACTCAACTTTCTGAGCATGGAATAGCAGGGGCCACAATGCAAATGCAGCAGGTACAGGCGTTCTAGGGATCCAAATCTAGTCCACATGCATTTTTGTCAAACTCATTAACCTGCTGCCCCAGATGCTTTAAAGTGTGACAAATCTGAAGAGGATTTGGATGTGTGCATTGTAACAGATACATCCTGGGTGGAAGATCATTGACAAGGAAGAGCTGAGCCCTCTCTTGGCACCTGGGGAAGACATGGCCTGAGCCAGGCAGACCTTGCCAAAGATATGGGCAGGCAACCTACTGCACTCAGGAGATGTTAGATGTTGTCCTACAGAAGACAATGAGAGCAGATCTATAGATCCTGATTTCAGAGACAATTTGGCCCCTGAAGCCAGTCTCTCAAGGTCTAATGCTATGTACAGATGCCACAATCTGTGCTCTCAACAAATTTTCTCCAGAACCTTGTCCAAGGCAGTACAGGCAGCTATGTTGTACTTATGTTGTACTATGTTGTATAAATATCTGAAGTGTGAATGAACATCATGCATTATTATTATTATTATTATTATTATTATTATTATTATTAGACAAATGAAGACTTGAACTAGATTCTTCTACTCTAAGCTCCCATTCTTTGCACTGTACAGTTCAGAATATCCTGACACCCACAGCCAGTATGTTGAACAGCTTAGACAGATGCCTAAATTTATCCAGCTCTTGAAGGGTGGAAGGAAGAGACTAAGGAAAAAGAATGAAAGAACAACAAGCACTCATGAGTTCACTTAAGCTCTATCTTTTTTCCTTAATTCATGATTTTTTTCAGAAATATGTCACAATGAAGGAAGAGAGAATCTTTATGACACTGAGTCCTGGAAAATTAAGGATTCCCTGCAGAATTTCACACAACTATTACTTTTACCAAAACCTTGCCCAAGAGGCTGGAAGACCTTGAACAGAAAAAGCTTGCATGAAACTAAAGGAGAAGAGAGAAGATATATTATTGAGATTCAAGACTTATTTAATCCAAACCCAGATACCCAGGAAGAACCTCAGTTAGTTATATTAGAGGGAGCTGCTGGAATTGGGAAGTCAACACTGGCCAGGCAGGTGAGGAGAGCATGGGGGGAAGGCCAGCTCTACAGGGATCGCTTCCAGCATGTCTTCTACCTCAGCTGCAGAGAGCTGGACCAGTGCAAGCAACTGAGTCACACTGTGTGTGGTACCCTGGGTGTCCTGGTTGGTCTGCACTTGCCTACAGCAGCAAATGGAGCAGGGGCAAGACCTCTCACTGACCTCACAGACCACCACAACCCTCTGCCTGAAATACCTTTCCCTGACTCTTCCAGGTCTTGCCCTTAGGACACAGCTCAGAAGGCTCTGCTCACTGGCTGCAAAGGGGATCTGGAGAAGAAGGACCCTGTTCAGTGAGAGAGACCTTCAGATCCAAGGGTTAGATAATGATGTCATTACCACTTTCTTGAAGATAGGTGTCCTTCAGAAGCAGCCCAGGTCTCTGTGCTACAGCTTTGCCCACTTGTGTCTCCAGGAGTTCTTTGCAGCAATGTCCTGCATCTTGTGTTTTAATGAGAACACAAGAGATCGTATAGAATTCTACAGTATTGTGCAAACACTGAAGGAAGGCTATGGAAGTCATGACCTGTTTGCGGCACCCACTATGCACTTTCTATTTGGTCTTTTAAGTGAAAAGGGAATGAGAAAAATGCAGAAGATCTTTGCCTATAGGTTGCCTTGGGAGACAAAGTTGTACCTGCAAAGCTATATCCTGGAGGAAACCCAACACCATCAATCATATTCTCTGGGTTTACTCCATTGTCTGTATGAGATGCAGGATAAAGATTTCGTGGCAGAAGTGATGAACAATTATCAAGAAACAAGGGTGCATACCCCAGTGGATATGGAGCACCCAGAGTTCCAGACAATGAGGAGGTCCTGAAAAAAGTGATGCATAATTATCAAGGAACAAGTGTGCATACACCAGTGGATATGGTACACCCAGTGTTCCAGACAGGAGTGAAGTACATGGTGGTCCAGACAGATGTGGACCTCATGGTGGTCACTTTCTGCATTAAGTTCTGCCGCCGTGTGAAGAGGCTTCAGATGAATGCAGGTGGACAGCAGAGAAAAATCTCAAAGGCGCACAGGATAGTTCTGTGAGTATCTGTTGATCCCATGAACACACATGTTCTAAGCATCAGCAGCACTCTTAGCTGGATCCAGGGCATCAGGATACAGGTCATCAGTGACATCTGACTGCTGAATCTGACCATCTTTCTCTACTTGCCTCTGTGTGCCTGACTATGCAAGGGACTATAAGCTTTTAAATCTTCCTAGGCCTCAGTGAG